TTCATGCAAGCACATGAGAGAGAGAGAGAGGGAACGCGCTCACTCTTTTTATCGGCAGAGGTTGCATTGTCCGTGCCAAAGCGTGGCGAGTCATGTCCAGTGCAATGCGAGGCACGATGCGTAGCCCCCACTTTAGCGGACACTGCAACCTCTGGCCGACGACTACTCAGATCGCCCCCACCGCACGAGGGCGCAGTGTAAGCTGAAGGTCCTGAGGCAGGAACGGCTCAAAAACCCTAGCAAACGGCAGTGCTATGCGGTCCTGTGCAAGCTCGAGAGTGCGTCCCCGTGCAGGTCCTGGAAAGTAAAAAGGCGTCCAGACTACAGAACTGTGACCAGGGCGCCGGCGAAAGTGGCCTGAGCGAGCTCGTTGCGAGGGCTACGCTGTACCTGGCCGTTTGCAACCAGAGGCCGAAGAAAACAGACTGAGGCAGTCCGTGCAGCGCAGAGCAAAAAGCATTTATCTGAGCATTGCGTGCGATGCCTCCACTAGGCGCTTTGGCCAACTCGAAGTGTCACCATGCGGTGTAACACTATGCGAGGCTGAAGCTAGCTGTGCCAGAGTAATGCGTACTCTGTCTGCAGTGCGGTGCTTGACGAAAGCAATGCGTCCGCGGGACAAGGCATCCGCCCAGGCGTTCTTTTCGCCTGCCAGGTGCTCCACCTGAAACTGCACGCGGTGCAAGTGAGCCCAAGTTGCTGCTAGGCGGAGGAACGTGCTCAGAGGCTCTGCAGTGCTAAACAGCTTGTTCAGTCCAGACTCCGCGCTTGTGTTGTCACTCGCCGAGGGAAGCACAAACCGTGCGTGTCGTGACCTGAGCAGCTGCCAGGAACAGTGCGCCAGTGCTAGCTGTGCTAGCGTCTCGAAACAACCTATGTAGGGTTGAAGGCTACCTATTAGCTGAGGCCACTCCTTGCGTACTTGCGTGGCGTCGAAAATTTCGCTAAACCAAACAAAACTAGAGGCAGTGCTGAGCCAACCACCTATGCCCATGCGGCCCTTGTCTGCAAAGGCATCCGCCGCTGACATGCAGTGCAGCAGGGGTGCAGTGCGAAGCGAGCGGGGCTGTTCATGCGCAAAGCAAAGGCTGAGCCACTGCAGGACAAACTTGCTTTCATTGCGGAGGTGAATTTCTTGCCTTGACGGGTCTGCTAGGAGAACCCACTGATGTTTATGGGAAGGGGGCACACGAGGCACGTCCTTCTTACTGTGCACTTTAATACTACCAACCTCTAGAAGCTGGGCATTGCGTGGCAACCAGCTGCCCGGCGGCGTGCGGGCCAGTTTGGCTGAATCGTCCAAGCAGTCGAAAAAGCCAGACCACGCCGCTGGCGCGATGCTATGCAGTGTACCTTTGGCAGAGTGCAGGTCCTTGTATAACGGTGCCATGAAAGGGCGCAGGTGCTTGCTGAGCGAGGTTGCCCAGTTGAGCAGACCTAAGCAGGCCTCTAACGCTTTGCGGGGCACCTTGGCTGTGCTGTGCAGCTCCTGCAGCTGGGCGCGAAGCTTGTGGAGCTTGCTTTGCACCAGTTCCACGGTTTCAGTGCGGAAGCAAAACTTCCAGCCACACCACGTGGCTGTGTCCGAAAACTGTGCTTTCTTCCAACTTACCGGTGCATTCAGGGCAGCCAGAAGTGCTACCAACAAGGCTGCTCCAGTTTCTGACTGGCAGTGCCTCAGCAAGAGAAGCAGGTCATCTACGTACAGCCATGCCCTGTGCGGGTGTTTGCAGAGCAGTGCGTGGAGGCATCTGAGGATCAGGGCTCCTGTACGCTGCCACCAATATGCCGAGAACCGTGCTCCGAAGTGACACACTGTGTAGTAATACAGGGCATCGCCGTGCCGAAAGAGAAGAGTGCCCTGATCGCGGGGCCGAACTTTGCAGCATTTATGAGCTGCTTTAAAGTCTATGCAAACGGCCCTGAGCTGTGCGTAGCAATCCTCTGAAAGAAAGGATCGCTGAACGTCGCTGGACGTAGGCAGTGCAACTCGCTCTGGCAAGTGTATGCAGCCGTTAAGGCCGCAAACAGAGCTGTCCAAGACAATGCGGGGATCTTTGCCATCTGCAAAAACTAAATTTAACTTTCCTACTGCTGTGCCTGCCGGCCAGTGCTTCGTTGCGTCTTCCAAGGAACCCTCGAACTTACGAACCCAACCATTTTCTATTTCCTTTGCTATGAGTTCTGCGAGAACTTCTGGATTTTGATCTGCGCGGGTCCAGTTCCCTGTGCAGTGCTCCAGTGCGGGGCCTGAAAGATCATCTTGCGTATCCACGCCTGGCTGTGCCTGCACCCACTGGCCGCTGCTGGGCAACGGCTCGAAAGCTCCTGTTGGGACCCCCTCTGCTAAAATGCTGGGCAGAGCGTGATCTTTGTCACCTATCGCCCGTGCGAGGCTTTGCAGTACTTGCAAGCGAAACGGCTGGCCAGGCTCTATGGCCGCAAAAGACTGTGGGTCGGCTTCCGGCGCGAGGTGCAGTCTAACCAGCTCAGTGAGGATCAGAGCGTGTTCCTTTCTAAGCGGGTTTTCCGGTGCTGCTTCTTGCAAATGTTTGGCAATGCGTTTTACCAAGCCATGCTGCTGCAGGAAACGCTTGAAAGCCAGAGACAGGGCTGCCAGGGGCCAGAGGCTGTGCAGTGCTGCTAACGTTGTTGGCTGACTGATCCGCATTGCTAAACATACCCGCACCATCACAGGTAGCTGGGCGCCGTGGGAGGAAACAATGAGGCAAGTGCTGTTGCAGTGCATCCAGGCTCTGGTCTACCACTCCTGTGGAGGAGCAGTTCTGTGCGAGGAGAGTGTCCAAGGACTTTGTCGACTCATCCGGCGCCAGGCCCCCACATGTGGGGTCTGAGCAACATGCAATGTGATGTGTTCCCGGACTGAAAGCATCTGTGCGAAAGCAGTGCACTGCCAACTCCTGACAAAGGTGCACATAGGCTGTTTCCTGCTCTGCGGGGCATTGCGTGGGGAAAAGAAAGACCACTTGCGCTCCTTGAAGGTGTGCTGCTCGAATGAGAGCTCGAGCCTCGGCGTGGCCTGTTGCGGTGAGCTGTGAGAAGGAAAAGAGGAAAAAAGCCAAACCCATTAGGCCTGACCAACACAGCGTCAGTAGCCTGGCCGACAAAGTAGGCTCAAAGTCGCCACTGGCTGCCGTGCTTTGCGCTGCCAAGGTGTCTACTTTAACAGTGAGGGCAGAGGGCAGTGCGAACCCCGAACCTTGTAACCGAAACAGAAAGCGAGGCCTAACCGAACTAACCGAGTGCGGGGCTGAACTGGACTCACTGTCGGAACCTTGCGACTGCTCCGATTCCGAAGCCGTGCAGGGTTCAACCCGAGTTGCAGAGCTAGAGCTTGCCGATGCGGCAGCCAGGCGTGGCGCCGGGCTCTGTGAAGGAGGTTTAGGGTGCGGAGCAGGAGTCTGGTCTGCGTCCGGCGGGGCCGGGGTCGGGGCGGTGCTGGGCATGCTTCTGAGCTGCTTGTTCGGCGCCGCCTCGACGAGTCACGAGGCACTGGGGTCCTGCGGGGCACGGTGCTTGCACGCTGGGTGACTCTTGCCGCAGGGCTCACCACTGGGCAGCTTAAATGCGCAGGCGTGCAGGTATTTACACTGTGCGTTGCGACAGTTTCCTTTATTCCACCTGATGCAGAAAACCTTGTCACCGTGCTGTGCAACTAAGTCCCCTTGCTTAATTTCCTGTGCAGTGCTTGCCCCGGGAGCCTTGCGCTTGATCCCGGCGGCTGTGCTTTTGTCTTTGCCAGTCTTGCCTTTGCCGTTACCCTTTGTTTCTTCGCGGGGAGGCTTTTGCGGCGGAAGCGGAGGCTTTGCACGCAACTGTAGCAAGTTCGCCACATCAGCGCGAACCGTGGTTAATTCGTGCAGTGCGTCATCGAGGCTCCAGCCAGTGCTGTACAGTGCAGCAATCTCTTGCCACAGTTTCTTGTCTGCGGCCACGAGTTCGGTCGTGGTAACTGTGCGAAGTGCGGGATCTGCTGGGCTTTGCGTCGCCGCGTCTAGAATCTTTTTGTCAAAAGCCTTCAGCCGTGCTAAGTGCGCCCCTTTGCACAGTGCTATGGCATTGCGAAAGACGGTCTGGATCCGCCCTAGCCATGCCGTGCTGAGCCTCAGATGCTCAACCGGCATTTCCGGTGTCTCGTCGAACAGTGCTGTGCTTAGGAACTGTGCTTCCGTGCGGAGCATTTTGGAAGATTTCGATTCCACGATGTCCTGATATTGCTTATGCGACAGCCTAAGCTGCCACGGCACCCATGCGATGATGCCTTGCGGTGCGAACCACTTGTGCACGATGCTTAGCAATCTGACACTGGGCATTGCATCATTGTCTAAGTGCTCGCCTGGGTAATTAATCTTGAAGTCCTTGACCAGCTGTGCAATCACTGCCGAGTCCAGGCGAGGCGGTGCGTGCTCTGCCCAAGAGTTGGGCTGCGGCGGGGCTGTCACCGGAGCAGGCGTAGTCGCGGCCAGCGTAAGCCCATCTGTCGACTGAGACAGTGCCAGAGCCCGTTGCCAAGCACGCCGAAGGCGAGCCATGGCAGGGCTGTGCGGTGGATCCTCCACCTCCAGATCTTGCCAGAGCTGTGCATGGTCAGGTGAGCAGAAACAATCCAACTCCTGTGCGGATGTGAAAGCGTATGCAAAGTCCGGCACGGTGCTGAAACCCTTGTTCTGCAGTGCGGTGCAGAGCAGCTCCGGAACCTGCATGGACGCAAGCAGGTCTGCGAGAGCGTCCGGAGCATCAACCAAGCCATGCGGAGCAAAGGCCATGCTGGGGAGTTTGGTTAAAAGTTTGGGGAAAACTTGAGTTAAAAGAGGCTGCAGAAGGGCGCACAAGCGGTGCACTGCAAGTTGCAAACAAGGCGTCCACCGAATACGGCCGGGCGCACGTGTCGACGACCATGACCTGAGCGAGGCAGGGGCGAGGGCAGAACAAGACAAGCTGACAGTGAGGCAGGAAAAAGCGAAGCAGGCATGCTTTGACTACTCGCTTGCTGCGCGGTGCATGTCTACGCAGGCTTTGCGTCTGCAGAAAACCCCCTGCGGGAGATCCGAAAACTGTGCAGCTATGCCAAGCTTAAGGCCGCACGCGGTGCGCGGGCATTCGTTCATGGAGTCCGCGCGCAGTGCGTGCCACTTTCCCCAAGCCCCGTTGCATGCGTAGCGTACGCCAGTCATTGCGGGCACTTTGACGAAGGGGGTGCCCTCCGAATCCACGCTGGAGACCGACGATGCGGCCAGACTTTCACTGCTTTCTTCACGCTGCAGAGCCGCTTGCTCAACCAAGTCTGCTTCTTCGTCCAACACAATGCACTGCGATGCGGGTTCCGGACTTTCGGGGCTGAGCTGTGTCGGTGCCGCCTGGTCCGAGGATGAACGCGATTCTTGCTGTGCTTGTGCTTGCAGGTGCTCGTGACGCGTCACGAAGCATGACCATGGTCCCGAGAGAAGGTGCTGTGCCCCTACACTGCGCAGCACGGGGCCTGGCGGGAGCGCGAAAGGAGGCTCCGGCACTGGCGCTTGGCCTCCGCGGGCTATGCTTCGCTCTGGGCGCCAGCCAGAAGCCATGGCGTCTGCAATGCTGTGCTGCACGTCTATGCTGGCGAAGGTGTCGTTGCGAGAGTAAAGTGCGGCCGAATCCCGGTGATGCCCCTGCATGAGACGGTTTTCTTTGCTGAGCCGTAGCTGTGCGGCTGCCGCCAGGCATGTACTTTTGAGGCTGTGCAGGGTGAGCTGCCGTGCCTCCAGAGCGGTGAGCCCCTGTCCCGGGGGCAGCCAGGGCAGTGTGGCCGCCCATCGGAGGATGAGCATTGCGGTGCCATAGGAGCAGGGCGACAGATCTGGAAGAGAATCCAACTCCGGTGCCGCGTTGCACCAAAGGAAATCGAACTCGTCACCCGGAGCCCAGAACCGATGAACCTCGCGTTGCAGGGCTTCCAGCCAGTGCAGTGTCCAACATGACTGTGCGCTGCGACCAGAGATCCCCGCCAGGGACACCGCAAAAGGCTGGCCCCGGTTCGTGGTTTTCGTGGCGTAGCATACGCCATGCAGCGCTGTGCTGGAGAGTGACAGTGAAGAGAAGTCGACACGTTGCAGGTCTCCAAAGCGAAGACTGCCGTGCAGTGCAAGCAGTGCCGCGCCCAGTGCTAGCTTAGTGGTGGTTTTGGTGCTGGAGCAGCACACGCACATTTCCCAGGACACTACGAGTGCCCAAGGGATCGGCATTGCTTCTTTGCGATCGTGAGAAGTGCCCTGCAGTGAGTATGCCGAGATGACGGGGCTATGCAGTGCAAGTGATAGCGATTGCCATTGTGCGTGTTTGGCCGTCCATTTCAAGGCCTTGATTGCGGACTTGGCCGAGGTTTGGTGCACTTCACGATCCTGGCTATGCGAGGCCCGGGCTGCCGCAAGAAAGTCGAGCAGGGAGGCGAGTTCCACCTCGGCGAAAGCAATGCCCGAGCTGTGCAGGAACATGACGAAAAGCGAAGAGTCCCTAAGGTACCTTTCGAGGGTGCTGGGCCGAAAATTAACTAGGATTGCTAGCAGGTGCTTTGTAGGGTCTTTGCAGGGCTGAAGCGAGACCCACAAGAGTGAAGCCTGGCCTAGTTTGAGGATTAGCTGGCACCATGCCGTGCCGCAAGCCTGGTGCCGAGTGGCCGATGCTTGTCTCGTGCTTGCAGTGCGTACTTTATGCGGTCGGGGCGGTAGAAGCAACGCTGGTGGCGCCGCTGCTCGGCCAGTCGGCGGTCGAACCGACGGCGCTGCCGCAGTGCTTTGCTTTGGGGGTTCAAAACGGGCCAAGCTGCGTGGCGGTGCTGGGCGATTTGGTTCACCCAATCCTCCAAGCTGTGGAGGCGAAACCGAGCGAGAACGCTTGTTCACTTGCGGGGCAGGCAAAGGTGTGTCTAAGCTGTTAGTTGGGAAAAAAGCCCTGCGCGGGGTATCGTGCAAGCTCCGCTGCGGCGGTTTTGCCAAGTCCGCGACTGTCGGCAGCGTGCCGTGCGGTCCAGATCGAGGTCGAAAGCCTGGCGGTGCTGCTTTGCTTTGCGGTGCTAGCTCGAGCACTGGAGAATGCATTTCAGTTGCCGTGCCAACCGAAAAATCCCCCCTGCTGCGAGGAAAGTAGCTGTGCAGGTCAGTCGGTCCTGTGAGGTCCACTAGTTCAGACCTCTCTGCGGCATCTGGGCTGGGAGCTTCCGAGGAGGGAGCGTCCGATGCATTGCTATGCTCAGTGGCCTTTCGTAGGGCTGCTTGTTCGGCCCAGCGGCGCCTCATTAGCAGTGCAAGGCAGATTTGCAAGGGGGGGCGGAGGCTCAACAACAAAAGCAGTTTGAGCCTATGCCATGCAGCATGCGGTGCATAAGAAACGTTCCCCAGCCACAATGCGAGACTGCCCGAAGAAACTGCGGTGCTAGCGAGTGCCGAGCCAAGGCCAGGCAGACCAGCGTCAGGAGCGTGACGAAGACGAGGTACCTGGCAGTGCGGGAAAGAAAGCAACAAAGCTGAGAGACAAGGAAAAAAGGCGCAGACCGTGCCAAAAGACAGCAGCCCGACCGAGTCCGCTCCTGTGCAAAAACGAATCCAATGGAATGTATTGCCATCAAGATGCAACATGCGGTGCATGTACTCGGGGACTTTTTGCCCCGATGCAATGCGATGCGAGATGCAGCTCCTTGGCGATGCTGTGCTATGCTAGGGACGGTGCATTGCTATGCCCCCAGATCTTTGCATTTAGAGCAGCGGTGCGGTTCGTGCATGTCGCTTTCCAGTGGAGTGCGGAGCGGTTTTTCGCATGGGCGGCCTCCGAAGCGACAGTGCACGTTTTCACACCGTGCCGCGCAACACAATTTGCCTGTATTGCTGTGCTTAAAAATGGGTCTATAGACGCCATCATTGCCGTGCACCCAGCGAATTTCGGTGCGGACCTTCTCGCTGGCCTCCATGAACTGTGCGTTGCGGGGCGGATTGCCGTAGAAGGGATCTTGCGGTGCGGGGCGTGGAAAGCGATCGGCAGGCGGTGGCGGGAAACGATGCGGTGCGGGCGGTGGGCTGCCCCACCCTGCCGGGCGTGCGGTGCCCCATGCCGCCGTGTGCTCTCTGCGTTGCTGGACTTCATGCTCCAATTGGTTCCAGAGATCTCTGCGGTGCTCCTCCTCGTCCTGGAGGTCCGCCCAGCTTTGCTCTTGTTCTTGACGGTGCCGTGCTTGATCATAATCGTGATAATTCCAACCTTTGCGACCACCTTTGCCATGCGGTGCTGTATAGGTCGGTGCGTAGCCCGGTGCAGCATCGTCCCATGCATCGTGTGCTTGCGATGCTTGCGGTGCCTCTGCCGGTGGTGCAGTGCTGGGCGGTGCGGCAGTGCTGGAACCTTGCATCGCGGTGTCAAGGTCCATGCGAAGCGATGCGAGCTGTGCAACCGTCATGTTGCGGAATGCTCCCACCCTTGCAGTGCTGTCCTCTTGCATCAGGATCTGCAAACACGTTGCGAGGCTGGATGACATGGCGATGCAGTGCAGTATGCAGTGCAGGGCAAAGATGTGCGAAGGCGAATGCTGTACTTGAGTCAAGCTCTGCAAGGAAACATTCATGTGCAATGCGAGGCTGGTGCTATGCGAGCAAACATGAAAAGAACTGTGCAGAAAAAAGATGCAGAGGCGTGAACAGTTCTGTCCTTGCGGTGCAAAGCTTTGCCCAAAGCGAGGGCAGGAAGTGTGCAGCGCCACCACCTGAAGAAGAAGTGCCGCAAGCTGTGCGAGCATAAGCTGATTAAGCTGAGGCCGAGGCGATGCACCTGCAGGTAAAAGCGGTACCTGTGCAAACAGAGCAAGGCAGGGCATAATCCGAACAGAACAACCACAGCCGTGGCAGTGTAGGGCTCCTTGCGTGCCTTGCAGTGCTCCGAGGTTCGGAATGAAGCTTGGCCCAAGGCAGGGCGAGCAAAAGAAAAGAGCAAACCGATGCCATGCTGCTTGCGGAGCGCGCAAAAAGACCGTGCGGGGCTTTTTTCATCGTGCAGTGCAGTGCTAAAGGAAGTCCACCAGTGCCCGGTCACACGTTGCAGATTCGGGGCTAGGATGTCCAATGCAGATAATGACCGGCAGGGTGTGGCCGCGACGCCAGACCAGTGCCGGGCGGCCATTCAATATGATGAAATTTGGTCGTTGCTGTGCTGTGCGGGTGCGATACCACACCAGCCCATCTGTCACCAACACGTTGCGAATGTCCTGGTAGCTGAGCAGTGCGACGATGCGAAACCACGCTCTGAGGTCCTGTGCCACGCAGTGCAGCGTCGTGCGCGGTGCCGTGCCGGGCTCGTGCTCCGGCTCATGCGGCGCCGGGCCCGAACTCAAGGCTGCCAAGAAGCGGCAGTGCTGTTGCCACAAAACGCTGCTGTGCCAGTGCCCAATGAAGCGTTGCAGGAGCTTGGCCCGTGCGGCGCGCCAGGCGCTGAGCAACTCAATGCGTCTAACTTCTTTGCGAGAGCGTTGCGGACCCAGGCAAACAATGCCGGGCGCAATGAGGGCAGGGCCTTCCGAAAAAGTCGAGGCCATGCTCAGAGAATCCTGTGCTTGCCAGTGCGTGAGCTGTGCGGGATTAATAGCACAGGCTCAAACGCCAAAGAAAAATTCCAGTGCCTTGCGATCGTGCCAACCTGCGGCCAACCAGTGCAGTGCAGGTAGTCCCGAAGCCGAGGAAGCCATGCTATGCTGTGCGAGTTTTGAGATACTGTAAAGCGATAGTGCTGTGCAACTGTGTTGTGAGTATGCGACGATCACCGGGTGTCAGATCCCATGTTCCTGCCATGCGTCTGTGCACAGTGCTGTGCAAAAAAGACAAGTGCCTTCTCTCGGGCAGCTCAAGAAAGCGGAGAACAATGCTGGCAGAGCGTTGCGAAAGGAAAACCTCCGGCAAACCCCCTGTGATGCACTCTGCTGTGCCTGGGAAATCACTGCTCAAATGCAGCAGCGCCTCCACCAAAACGGCCGTGCTGTGCCGCGGAGCCGCCGGCTCGGGCGTAGCAATGCGTTGCTTTTTGTTACCCTGGCGATGCGTCATGGCAAGGAGGAAGGCAGCTAGGACAAAGAAGGCTAGTCAAGCTCATGCAAACCAGTGCCCAGCGGTGCATCCGGCAAGACATCTGTGCATTCAGGAAGACCCTCTATCTGCACAATGCGGCGCTCAAGTGCATGAATATGGCCCGCAAGATTCTCAACTCGAATGCTAAGCTGGTCAATGCGTATGTGCAATTGCGTTGCGCACTCAAGTGTATCGTGGGCAAGCTCCTGAATGGCCTTGACCAGCCGCGCAGTGCGGGGCGAGTCCGGCGGAGCGAGCGAAGAGGCCATGTAGGACACGGCTAAACGGCTGCGGTGCTTGTTTGCTAGTAGACCGTGCTAAGCAAAGCAAAACGACAAGCTAGAGCTAAGCTTGTGAAAACTTTTCTATGCATGCGGGGTCGCGGCCCATGCAGCAGTGTTTCTTGAGCCAAAATGGCTATGAAAACTTTTCTATGCATGCGGGGTCGCGGCCCATGCAGCAGTGTTTCTATGTTCGTGTGATTTGAGCCACCGGCGCGGCGCGGTGCTATCATGAGAACACATAGAAAACACTGCTGACTAAAATACAAACGCACAGCGAGCGCTCTCACGAGCGGCATCGCTGGTGTAGAACACCTTCTGCAGCAAGTCCAAAACCAGATAGGTGGGGCCATACTTCGAATCCCACACGCGAATGTGCTCCATAAGGTCAGCCTCATCGATCATGCGCACACCCTGCTTCGAGCTCTTGGCAATGGTCTCTGCGCACATGCGGCCGCTCTTGGCAGCGAAGTAAATGCCCTCGCCGGAGCACTTGGTCACGTAGCCGGCCGCGTCGCCGACGAGGATTGCCCTGTCCTTCACACGCCATGGGCACGGGTGCTCAGGGATCGGGTGGGCTTCGACGCGAATGATCTCACCACCCTCGATGCGCACAGCTGCCCGGTCACGGATGCCCTGCTGGTACTGCTGGATGCCCTTCTTGTCCACCACGGTTCCAGTGCCCACAGCAACGTGGTCGCACTTGGGGAAGACCCAGGCATAGAAGTCCGGCGAGACGTCATCGCCAACGTACATCTCAGCGCGGTCCTTGTAGTAGTCCATCTTGCCATCTGGGATGCGCATGCGCTCCTGAAACGCGATGGCGTACTCATAGTCCCCAGCTTCGATATCTTTTTATTGTTTGGTAGTGCGACCAGCAGGATGCCCACGAATCGTCCTGCAAGCCGCCGTGGGAGCCCCTCAGGTCTCGCACGCGTCCCACTCCTCAGCCACACGCTCTGCGAGGGCGCGGGTTCTCATCTCCCACGCGGCCGCCGCCTCACGCGCCCGAAGGCAACGCTGCCGAAGGGAGCCAGTGGCACGCCGCCTGGCCAAAGGCCCAGCCGCGCCGTCAGCGCGCTCGTTGATGGCACGAAGCCGCCTCAGCGAAAAGAGAGCACTGCCGCTCCAACCATCCGGGATCGGCTTGCCATGGCTCGGGATGCAGACGGTGTCCACCTCGAGGCCACGCGCCCGCAACTGGGCTCCCAGTGACCGAAAAAGGGCCACGTAGTACGAGAGACACCCACAGCCTTTCCAAGCATCGATCGCCGCCTTGCAGTCAATCGCAATAACGGCTCGCCCCTGCACTCCAGCTTGCAAAAGACCTTGAAGACACAGCCTCAAACCCTCGAGTTCGGCCTTGTAAGGGGTTTGGTCTTCTCCTTGGAGCCCAGAAGCGAAGACCCCTCCCCCCTCAACAGCGACAGCAGCAGCAGCGACCAGGTCAAAGGCGGAGCCGTCGGTGCCAAGCAGAAGCACGCCCTCCGGTGGCCACCGAAGTCGAATGTCAGCAGCGATGTCCTCCAGCAGCTCGTCAGGGTCGACGACAGGAGGAGCAGGCGGGATCTCGGGCACCTCGACAGCGAGCAGTCTCTCAGCCAAGCGCGTGTCCGGCGGGCCGTGGACTGCCGAAAGCGCCGTGAACTCCGGGCACCTCCAGAGCAAGTGGGGTCTGCTAGGCTCAGCCAAACCGCAGCGGCACTGAGGAGTGGCATCGAGGCCATTGCGCTTGGCCTTGTCCCAGCCACTGCAACCGTAGCCGAGGCAAAGCTGTCGGCCAAAAGCGCCACACACAGCAAAGTGTTTGCAATGTCCACGGAAGGTGCACAACGTGCCATTGGCAACCGGCGGCAGCCATCCACCACGAGCCAGAGCCGGCTCCGTGCGATGGTAGTCCCTGTGGACCCGCTGACACTGAACAAGGGCTTCACGGCGGTGCCAGTCCATCACCCATTCTCGCAAGACCTCAAGGCGGTCCTGGCCACAGCGAAACCGACGAATGCGGCCTAGAGCATCAACTCTGGTGATGACCCGGCCGTGCTCCTCGACCTGCCACCCGAGCTCCGAGAGGATGTCGCTGGCGAAGTGAAGGTACGCCGGCCAAGCCCGAAGAGCAACAGCAAGAGGGGCAGTCTCCTGCCAAGCAGCCGTGGAGGAAGCCACCCTCGTCACTTCACGTAGCGTGGCCCACCTCCGAGAGAACACAGGGTCACAATGGTAGCCGAGAATCTCCAGCGCCAAAGGGCGCGCCCTGTCCCGGACGCTCATCGACCCCACACGGCAGAGCACATCCGCCCGCAGCTCGTTGGCCTCAGCCGCGGCGAGGCCTCCAAAGGCGCCAGCCCACGTCCACAAAGGAACCGCCAGCGACCGAAAAAGCCGTCGCCTGCACTCGACCGTCTTGGCCACGACCGAGGCGAGTCGAAGCCGCTGTCTCGCCTTGTTCACAGAGAAGCCGGCCAACGAAGTGCGACCTCCAGCGTCAAAGTCAAGCAGCAAGCCCAGCACCTTGAGGACAGAGGTGGACTCGTAGCCAAAAGCTCTCACCACACCTGAGGCCCAAGCGCAAGAGGAAGGAGCAGCAACCTTGCACTTGGCACTGTCGCAAGAAAACCCCATGGCCCTGTCAAAGTCGCGACTGGACCGACAAGCCAGGCCGGCATCCGCCTGCGGCTTCAAGAGCAAGTAGCGATCATCGACAAAGGAGGCCGCTCGAACTCCAGGCAGCCGCTCCAGTCTCAAAGCCCATGCCAACATGACAGTCGAAGCAAGGAGCGGGCTAAGCGGGCAACCCTGGCATAGGCCCCGAGCCGTCCTGTGCCAGCAGCCACCCAGCAGGCCTCCCGCCGAGAAGAGCTTGAAGTGCTCGTCGTAGAAGAGGCTCGCTAACTCCCGGAACTGGTGCGGCGCGCCAAGTCGCTCCAGTGCCATGTCCAAATCCTGGTGGTCGATGCCATCGAAAAACTTAGACAGATCCTCAGCAACAGTGACGCCTCCATCGAGGCTGGAGACAAGCACCTGACTCACCACATCCTTGAGCGACCTGTGCGGTACACCGCCACTCGTCTGATGCCCAAGCCAGCTCTCCGCCCACGAAGATACTTGCGAAAGCACCGCTCGCGCACCGATGCGGTAGGCGATGCACAGCAAACACAGCGGCCTGCTGTCCCCGTTGCCCTTCGGGATGAGGGCGACACGCGAGTAACGCCAAATGCGTGGCAACTCCTTCAGCCGAAGCACCGCCTGCCAAAGACACGCCAGGCTGTTCCAGAAACCAAGCGGCAGGTGGCACCACAAGTCGGCCGTCCAGCCGTCAGGCCCGCCAGCTTTCCCACACATTGTCTTGCCAATGGCTAGCAGCTCAGCACCGGTGAAAGAAAGCTCCAGGCTCGCACGAGGCAGCTCCGGAAGGGAGCTCAGAGCGTTCGCTACAGCAGCTTGGTTACGCCCTTTTCTGCGCGACCACCGCGGCAACCACTACGCCTCCGCCTCAGCAATGACCCGCATCGGGTGGATGGCGACCCTAGGGAGAAGCGGGTCCACCTCGCCGGCCGTCTCCAGCTCCTTTTCGAGGCCAGAGCGACGCTTAACCCAAGCACACTGCGCCTTGAAGTTGAAGTCGATGCCCTGCCTCCACGAAGCCACCGCAGCCTCCATTGCCTCCTTCTCGAGAGCGTCCACCAAGGAGTCCACCAGCCGTAGAGCGCCAAGCTCACCACCATGTCGAAACTCCAAGAGCTCGGGGAAGGTGTAGCCAAGGTGCCGAAGGTCCGCATCGATGTTGCTCCGCAGCTGGACGTCGTGCTGGACACGCCGAAGGTGAGCAAGCCGTCGTTGAAGCCGCCGCATCCGCGTCAACAGAATGGACTCCGCCCCAGCAGCAACTTTATGAACGTCCCGTTCACGGTGAGGCCGCCAAATGGAGTGCCGAGCGCAACCGCTGGAGCGCTGAGTCGGGCCAGCCATCGCCTGTTCAGCAGCACTGGAGAGGATGGTCCAAGCCTCCTCGACGTCCCTGGTAAGAGCCTCCTGGAAAGAAGCGGACCGAGTCCGCCACACCTCCTCCCAGCACGAAGGCGAAACATCCGAAGCAGTAAGAGGGGTTCGCGGCTCGCGGCGGCCCAGAGAAGCCACGCGGGCCATCGAACCTCATGTCATAGGCCGTGCCTCGGTGATCAGCAATGGTCTCGAATGTGTGGAGAGCCTCCGCAGACAACTGTCGCGAGGCAAGGCCGAAGTCGATCCGCCTGAGCCGGTTCGGAGACGTAGCCGGAAGCGGACCATGCTCAAGAAAAGCTTCGTCAAGGCTACGAACATCAGCACGTGCAGCCAGCTCCCAAGCAGCCGGGGCCTTGTCCAGGGCAACGTTGTAGTCGCCAAGCAGCATCCAGTCGACACGGCGGCGGCAAAGAGCATCAATCACCTGCCCACTGTGACGAGAGGCGGCCTCGAGGCTACTCGCGTGGCCGTAGGTGCACCCGACGATCACCTTGCGGTAGGAGCCCTCGCGCTGAACCTCAAAGACCATGGCCACCGCCCTCGCAGCCTCCTCAACGCCTTCCAGCTGCAGCAGCTTGCCAGGGAGCTTGCTCACGATGGCACACCGTCGAACAGAGTTATCATCAGCAGCAGCAGCAAAGATGTCAAAGCCCCGAGCCCTGAAGCCAGCAACCACACGAGGCCACGACGGCACGTTGACGTCAATCTCCTGAAGACAGCAAATGTCAAGGCCCTGGGACTGCATGACAGCAACCACAGCCAGCACTTTGCTCGCCAAGCTCTTGCCCACGTTCATGGTGCCAACACGCGTCACTCGGCCCTCCGAAGGAATGACCGCCGTCATGATGACAACGAAGCGGGTCGGCGGCCTGCGGGATCACTGCGGAGAAGGGCCGCCTCAGCAGTGGCGAGTCTCGAAGCCAAGATTTCCTCAGGCACTCCATGAGGGGTCTTCTGTTTCGCAAGCAGCCGTACAGCCCGGTAGTAGCGCTTGCATCGGGCCTTGTGCGAGTCCTTTTTGGGCCTGAACTTGCAACACCTATGCGTCTTAAGTGCAGGGCTGTCGGCATCTGTCGTGAGGTGATGGCAACGCTGGCAGCTCCAAGCCCACCTCCACTTGACATGAGGAGGCCGATGTCGCCCAACCTGCACAATCGGCCACAACAGCGACGTGAAGCCCTCGAACTCGCCCTCCAGGGAGCCCAGCAGCATCTTGGCAGCACGTTTGTTGACCGAGCCCACAACACGGGCCCTCCTGGAGTGCTTGCGCTTCATGGACTGTCGGGCCGCAGCGGCCTGCCATTGCTTATTGTCATACTCAGGGTGACGAGCCTTTCGGTGAGCCGCCTTGTCACGCTCAAAAACATGCTTGCTCATGGACTGCTTCGTGTGCGCTGGCAAACCATAACGACAAGCAGGGCATTTCCAATCGTTAGAGTCCTCCCGCACCTCCTGAAAACTCAGTGTGCGGAAGCTCGATATGGGCACCCGAACAGGCCCAGGCAGGCCAGCACCGTCGTGCCACTGGAGCAAATGTCGTCGCCGAGCAGAGCTAACTACAGTCCTGGAAGGGTGAGTGTAGGAATAAGCGCAGTGCTGGCAAGCAAAACGCGGCGGCCCATCACCATCAGCCAAAGGGTTTGCGCGAAATCTCGGTTGACACAGTGCCCTCCGCAGCGATTCACCTTGAGCAGAATCAGCGGCAAGTCCGGCGCCAACATCATCACATCGACGCCGCTTGGAAGAAGCAACAGAGGCAGCGCCGGGCACGCCGGCCGTGTGTCCTCCCAAAGAAGAGGGCTTGGCACTATGGGCCGCTCGCGGAACATCAGCAGGAGGGCCTCCGGTCGTGGCTCCCGTAGGCCGTGCCGTGCGCCCTCCCAAAGTGCGCTTGGCAGTCACGCCACCCAAACTCGAGGCAGCAGTGCGGCCTCCCAAGGTAGAAGCAGCCCGACCAACTGAAGGAGCTCCGCCACGATCTTTGGGATCCCCGATCTCAGCCTTGACCGCCTGAGCAGCAAGCTCGCTGGTGCATCCAACCAGTGCTTGGTAATGGCGATCCTTGAACCAAAGAGCCAGAGCGTGGCCTTGGAAGCAGGGCCGAAAACCCGAACATCAAAGTCTCCTTGAAGAGGTCGAATCACGAAGATCTGCTGGTTCAGGGTTGCCGCAAGCGCGGCCAGCTCCAGTGACCCCCCCCAGGATTGGTCCCGGCCAATTCGGCGCAAGTATTCGCCGAAGCCCATCGAAGAGATGTCCTCCTGGTCCGCAGTAGGCGCGTCGCCGCGCCAGAAGGCAGCGTAAGTAGCCTCGTGTTTCCTGAGGTGAGTCACCGCGAGGTTGCGAAGTTCGCCCGCCGATCGGCGCGAGCGGCCGAGAGCCGCAAGAGTTTCGGAGACCGCCAAGAAAAGGCAGTCCCCCTGTCCAGCGTTGTCCACGAGCTTCATCCCACCCGGAATGGTCGGGTCGACCGTCTTGGCCTCGGTGACCTTGGCACGCTTGGCAACGGCAACGTCATCTTGAGATGGCATGGACTTTCCATCGTCTAGGCGGGGCCGATCGCCGCCACCATCAACCGGCATCTCGCCTTCGGCGCTCTCGTGGGAGGACTCAGCAGAACTCTCGACCTCCTCGGCGACGGGCTCGACACTCTTGCTCGGCTCCTTTCTCTCTTTGCTGCCCTTGCGCGAAGAGCGAAAAACCTGTTTGAACTCCAGAGGCATGGCGCGCTCCTGGCGCGGAGCACGGCCGCGCCCCACCCTGACAATCTCGATGCTGCCGGACTCGAGCGGAACAACCTTGATGTCAACGTCAGCGGGGGCCGTGGCTCTAAAGGACCACGAAGTGAGCCCACGCCACGGCATTCTTTCCTCGATCTCAACATTCTCAAAGAGGTCGCCGAGAAAAGAAGAAACATCTTCGACCGACCATTCTCTCGGCACAGCCGTGGCGCGCCACGTGCGCCTCAAAGTCCGAACTCGAAGCGCATCAGCAGCAGTGGCCACCCTGCGGATGCCAAGCTGGCGGGAGCCACGAGCCAAGCCGAAGTCAACAGATTGCAGCTCACGGCAACAGCGCGCAGCATACTGAGGCCAATCCTCATCATCCCTCCACTCTTGCCAGTGGACCGACACATCAGGGAGGCCAGGTATAGCCTGGGCCCGGCTCACGTTGGAGACGAACCAGCGAAACCCTCCATAGCGGGCCCCGGAAGAGGCGAGAGCCTGGGCAGCTTTAGAAGCCGTGATCCTCACCAGACCCTCCACAGTGGCCTGCGAGCCGCCAGGGCCCCGCACAAGGTTCCAAGACCAAGTGTCACGGATGCTTCCAAAGGCACTGGAAGCCCAAGTCCTGAAATGCTTGCCAGGCGCAGCAGCAAGCTCCTCCCAGGCCTTCGCACCCTTGTCACAGTACACCCAGTCAGAGTGGACTCTCACGACAACAGTCTCCTGCTGCGCCGGCAACTTTGGAGCAGCAGCCAAAGTGCGCAACTTAGGAGAATCCTCAGTGCAGTGAGCGATCCAAGCATTGACAATCCTCACCTGCCCACGCCAGACGCCCGGGACACGAGCCTCGGTCCAGGAAAGCTCCGAAAAGTCCTTGCGCACACTCTCCAAGTTCTCGCCCTGGCCCTTGAGCACAACAAAGGTGAAGTCGGGGCCAACCTCGGCCGACTGCACCACAGTGCGCAGCCTCTCAAGCTCGGAGGCCTCAGTGGCATAAATAACAAGATCTCGAGAGGGATCCTGAAGAACCTCGGCCGCAATAGTCACAATCTCGGTGTCCGCGGTCCAGTCAGAAGCGCGGGGGCACCAATCACTAGCTTTCATCGGCCCTCCAGCAGCAGCGGCTCCATGCCTGCGAGCGTCTTGCACTCCACTGCCTTTGCCGCTGTTGCCGCCTTTGCCGCCACCTTTGCCATTGGCCTTATCCAAAGAAACGACCCTAGTGGAGGCAGGAGCCGTCGGCCCGACAGTCGCAGTCGAGCTGGGCTTCTTCGGCTTTTTGCGCTTGGCCACTGTCTGCCAACCTTCGCCCTCATCAGTGTCAGCCTGCTCCATCCAGCCAGCAGAACCCCCGTGGGGATCAGAGGTCCAGGCCGGCCACTCTTGCCACTCATCACTCCATTCGGACCGCAGCTGACGAGGCTTGCCCCAGCGAGGAGCACGAGTCGCGGCAGCGGCTGGGCAGGAGCTGCCAAGCATTCAACAAGTTCTGCAAAGCACTGATAGGATCAGCAGGCCGCTGCCAAATGAGCGACTCGAGCTGCTGGAAAAGGGCCTCGAAAGGATCATCAGGATCCTCAGCAGCCACATCGTCCTCCTGAGACCAGCCTGACAGAAGCTCAGTCAAGGAAGCGAGCATTTTCTCTGTCCTTCGTCGTCTAGTGGCAGCCGCTCCGCCAGCACCTCCTCGAAGCGGATCACCACGAAAAGCCAAACCACCACCGGCCCCGGCATCCTCTGCACCACAAAAGCCGGGCAAAATGCACCGGCCATGCACACCATCATCGCCTTGGTCAAAAATGTTCACGGCGGCATGGGCGCCGCTCCCACACACAATACCCACAGCGAAGGGCAGACGCTTGCAACGTTGGCGGCGCCCAAACCTTCGAGCTCGCAGCACCCAAATCTGTGCATTGGGCCTGGAACTCAACTTCCACCGAAGAGGACGACGAGGCACTCGCATGCCACCAGCCAGACGAGCTGACCAAGCGGCCACCCGAGGAGCACCTCCGCCTCGGAACTGCGCCGTCGCAACGGCCTTGGAACAAAAACGACTCCGACGGTGACGCTTCTTGCGTTTGCGCCGGAATACCTGCCGAAGCCGGAACAGAGGCCGGGCAGGACCAAAAGCAGCAGAACGGCAGCCAGCTCCCACAGCCGCTTGCCGAGCAGCCGAGCGCACACAGCGCCGACCACAACTGCATCCGAATAAGTGACCCTCCATCACTAGGGTCTGGAAGAAAAGCCCCTTAAGGCGACCACTGGCTCCCACAGCCGACAGCCACCAGAGCATCATCATCAAAACTCGTGCCAGCCAAGAAAAGAACTGGCACACCGAATTGCACACTGAGCTGCCAATGAAGAACAGAAAGGAGGAAACTCGGCAGCACTCTGAGAAGACTTCGCACCCATGCAAAGATGGGCCCGCACGCACCTCGGGGAGGTCCTTCTCTCGCGTGCCTTCGATATCTTTGGCCACCCGGCTGTTGGCTCCATCAGCTCCGACCACGACCTGAGAGGGCGATCCATACTACGACCCCACCTGGCCTTGTGCACGGAGCACGCACCGAAGCTGGCTCCCAACGTTCCAGATCGAAGTCAAGGAACATGGTCTTCTTCTCGCCTTTGCCTGATGCCGAACATGTGCAAGGATCGTCGTGAAATGTCCAGAATCCTAGACGTAGCAGCGTCGTACTCAAGGGCACTCCTTGTAATTTCCTCTTAACATCCGAACAACCAAGAAAACTGCCTTGTCACTACCGTCTTTGCCCCTCTCATCGCACAGACAGCCCTTTCCCTTCAACGACTTCTCAGTCTTCAGCTTGGCTGCGTGCACTGCCCTCGGCTTCACCGAAGTCGTTGTAGGTCAGCACATAAGACTCTTCCTGAGGGCGTCGGCTGACCCTCGCAAGCCGGAGCACCCGATTCTGCAGCACCAGAACCCTCGAAGCCCATCTGCAAGCTGTGCAGCCTGGCTTGCTCTGAGGAATCGTCATGCCCATGAAGAGGCCGTTGATCAGCGTGGCGCCGTTCTTCTTGGCCCTCTGGCGGAGGAAGTCGTCAAGCACCTGTGCAACACCAGCCGCCCCACGATCCAGCCCAAGTCCCTGTGACCCTGCGGTCCAGAAGTCGGAAATCGGATCTCGCGGCGCACCATGCCGATGAACTCATCGTCCTTCAGGGTCTGGCCAATCTGCACCTGCGCACCAGGCACGAGACGCGAAGGCTCCTCAAAAGCCCTTGGCCCGTCTTCGGGGCTGCACGCTTGTCAGGCCTCCTTGTTCGTGGGAGAGATCATGGTCATCTTGCGAACCTCCGCGGAGCCCGGGCTTCACACATTCGTGGCGAAAGCTGGTTCGGCGCAGGCCTGGCGGTCCACGATGTCCTTGGGCAGATCGAACTCCTCGCAGATGCGACATGTTGTTGGAGACTGCGCAGCCTCTGAAGCTGAGCCTTATGACTTGCTCGGTGCATCGGCAGCTCCCGCAGACATATTCTTGCAGACTGTAAACTCTGCGAGCCTTCGGCCTTGCTCGGCTTTCCAGTTTGGGGTCAACCAGCAAAGCGCAAGTCCCGAGGCGCACCGGTAACGACAAGGAGTTGACGATTCTCATCTGTGACGCTTTACGCTCCCTGTGCGTCCTCGATCATGCACAGAGGGATGGCCCCGCCGCAGGGCTTGCAGTTGTCCAGCTTCCTCTCGATGAGGTAAGTCTCGATGCCTTCCTGCAGCCCACAGCAAGATTCGGGCCAAGTTGCCCCTCGCCGAGAGGCAGAGGCAGAGACAGAGAGAGAGAAAGAGAGAGAGAGAGAGAGATAGAGAGAGAGAGAGAGAGAGAAAGTTGGAGCAGAGCCCCATGTCCCTCTATAAGAGCTGTTCGGAACATCTGTGGCTCTTGTGCCCTGCAGTGCCTGAGCCAAGGCATCCGCTGTGCTGGCGCCGGCCGGGCCACCACCGATGACGGCCACGCGCAGCTTGCGCCCCTCCTCGGATTGCTTACAAGGTCTCCTCTAGGGTCCCAAATAATACAATATCTACCGCTATCCACAACAACGACCAAGCCTCATCCTACCACTCTTGTACTCTGTGCTAGATAGCTGAAGCTGAGCTTCTGGGAGCATAGCGCCTGCGCATACGACAACCTTCGCATCTGTAAGAGACCGCGTCTTCGCGAGCTTGGTCACGGTAGCTGCACCTGCACAGAGGCAGAAAGGTGTATCTGTGGACACTTCAGCGCTCGACTGTTGGCTTCGGTGTCGCCTGCAAACTCAGACCGGTGCTTGCGGCGGGTGCCCGCGGCCACGGCGGCACCCACGGCCGCGACGCCCAGGGCTCCCTTAACCTTGAGTCACGCGAAACAACATCTTTACACAGCGTGTTCAACTTCTCCGCCTATGGCGCCAAGTCAGGCTGAAGCCCTGCAAGGCTCTAATGTCCCACAAGCATGGACAGCCACGAAGCTTTGTGACTTTATGTTGCATGCCGAGGGACTGCAAGGGAAGCTGCGGGGGCAGGGCTCGGAGGGGCCTCCACAGAACGGCGTCGGCATCTCCGATTACTGCTACAGTGTTTCCTGTCCGAGGAATGAAGAGTACGCGTAATAGTTGTAGTAGTAGTAGCAGCAGCAGCAGTAGTGGTAGTAGTTTCCAGTAGTAGTAGTAGTAGTAGTAGCAGCAGCAGCAGTAGTAGTAGTAGTAGGCCGCCCCCCCTACCAACTACCCTATTGCATGCGTTGCGTTTTTTTTGAGAGTGTGGGGGGGTGCCGGGGGGTGGGGGGGGTCACTTATGAAGCCCGTTGGTGCAAACCTTTTGCTGTCTGCGTAGGGTTTGTAGGGTTTAGGGTTTGGGGTAGCAAAAAAAGCTTGGCAACTATATGAGATGGCTGACGTCACGAAAGTATTGTTCGGGGTGTCGGCGTAACAATGTCGTCACCATTCTTCGCGCACCCCCCCACCCCCCAAAAGCAAGTCCAGAATGAGCAAAGCAACAACGCAGCTAAAGAGCTAAAGACTCGTTGTTAGCAATGGAGTGTGACATGAGCAAGGTACGTTCAACACCGAGAAAATAAGCTTTCCCCCGACCAATTTCGAGTTTTCGCTGAAAGCCCTCGCAAAGGCAAAAAAAACAACGTAGCAAAGTCCAGAGGTAGGCTTGGCAACTATATAAGATGGCTGAAATCACGGAAGTACTGTAAATACCGAGTAAAATGGTTCTTCCGGAGATGTTGTTCGGGGTGTCGGCGTAACAATGTCGTCTTCATTCTTCCCGCACAACCCCGCACCCCCCCGAAAGAAAAGTCCATACTCGGATGCTGGAGTTTGCAAACTCGCAGGTGAAGTTTGAGGCTTCATAAGATGCTCCTATTTACATGACGAAAGCGCTGTAAAAAATACCCAGTAAAACGAATGTGCGTTACAAGAGTATGTAAAAGGGGTAGTTGGTAGGGCGGGGCGTGGCTAGTAGTAGTAGTAGTAGTAGTAGTAGCAGCAGCAGCAGCAGGAGTAGTAGTAGTAGTAGTAGCAGGAGTAGTAATACTAGTAGTAGTAGTAGTAGTAGTAGTAGTAGTAGCAGAGCAGCAGCAGCAGCAGCAGCAGCAGCAGCAGCAGGAGGAGGAGGAGGAGTAGTAGTAGTAGTAGTAGTAGTAGTAGTAGTACTAGTAGTATATAGTAGTAGTAGTAGTAGTAGTAGTCGTCGTCGTCGTCGTCGTCGTCGTCATCGTAGTCGTAGTAGTAGTCGTGGTAGTAGTAGTCGTCGTCGTGATGGTGGTGGTGGTAGTGGTAACTAGTACTAGTGGTAATAGTGGTAGTAGTAGCACTAATAGCAGGAATACTAGACTTACTAAACCCCGAACCGAGCCTGAACCCACCAAGTACCAAGTACTACTGTCCTGTGCTGCTGGTGCTGCTACTACTACTACGACGACGACTACGGCTCCGGCTACGACTACGATTACGACTACTACGACGGAGACCAGAACGACAACGACTACGACTGCTACTACGACTACGACTACGACTACGGCTACGACTACGACGACGACTACTACTACTACTACTACTACTACTACTACTACTACTGCTGCGTGAGGTTCCGATATCGATGATATCCAAGTTTGCCCTCCTCACCAAGAGCTTGTTGTTGTGTGGTTGCCAGATAAGACGTAGATAACACTTCTGCTCCCAAGGTTCTCCCTTGCAGGCACGCTCGACCCTTCTTTTCTGCCGACGGCGGAAGGTCGTTCGGTCTGTGCGCGGGATAGCTCAGCTACACTCTGTTAGGATCACCAGCTAGCTTGGCTAACTAGGGTGATGAGCGTTGAGCTCATTCCTTGAGTCTTGAGCCAACGTTGCATGATATGCGGATGCATGTACATCTTGTTCACTCCACACTTGGTCCAACAAGTGGGCCCAAGGTTTGCTAGTCCAGTCCAACTTGTGACCCTGGACAGCATTGTGGAAAAGAGATGTCATGTTGCTGTTATCTACATAGCTCATAACGCGATACCACGATTGGGCTAGGCATCGACGTCCGTTCGCACCCCCCATGAGTTGCACCTTCGGCGCTACTCACATAGGAAGATAGTCGCGTTTGAAAGGAATTGAATATCCGCTGCAACTTTGGGCTTAGTTTCGCTGAGCTTTTGCATCCCAATTAGAAATGCTGTGAGACTTCTCTACGTCAGTGCGATCCCCTAAAGCATTGTTCAACGAACAGAGGACACCGAAGAAATCCGCAGTGACAGATCACGTGCAGGTAGAAGTCAACACATGTGGACGTTTGAGGCATGCTCGTCATCGGTGGTAGAACTCTTGGGACCAATAGCGATTGCGTTGCGTCCACTCTTCCCTTTCCTGTTGGCTGTATGGATGTCCTCGTCCACGCTCACCCTTGCCAGTCAGTTGATCGGCGGATTCGTTAGCGTTTCCGGAACGACGCCAAGTAGGATCAGGTCGATTAGCTTGAGGATTGCGGGTCGCACGTTCGGCTTGTGCCCTTTCCTCCGCTGTCAATGGTCTGTCCATGACCGATTGTTGTCCTTGTTCCATGAAGTTGGCGTGCGTGATGTGCTTCAGCGCATTCTTCCTGGAATTTGGATTCTTCTCCCGTTCATGTTTGCTGATCGCAACTTTGTCCACCATCTTGGCCGGGACCTGAATGTTGTGATCGATCAGGAACCCAATGACTGTTGCAGAGTTGTCGGACAAGTTCTGGGTCATTAGAACGCCCACCATGTCCAAGTTGATGTACTCCACTTTGGTCGTTGGCGGATTGCGCAAAGTAGCGAACCTTTCACATCCCGTGACTTTGGGAATAATCTCCTGCAAGAGTTGAAGGCACGTGAGGTGGATTTGAAATGGAGTAAATCCACGGTCGTGGTACGTCGAAGGGTTGAAGTCATCGCATGTGTAGCCCATGCTGGACGCGCCGCGGATGAGTTCCGAGAGTAATTGATTTGCTCTGAACCTTCGAACTGTCCATGTCCCGTCGGGATCGTCAATGCCTTTGGCTCCACGTTTGCATTCAGCGATCTCGGCGTCAGTCACTTCACGACTCACCAAGGTATGTGGATCTATTTGGCAAAGGGGGTCCCACTTGCCGAGGACATCGTACCTTCCACCTTCTGAAAACCTTTCTTGCATCTTCTTGTAAGACATAGACATCCACTCCATGGTAGTAGGCCATATCTTGTACATGGTTCGGCAGTAGACGTAGCACATGAAGGCAAAGGCTTCAGTGTTGGGATCAATACTGTGGCCTTTCTTCGCGTTGGGGTAGTACTGTGGTTGCATGGACTGCAAAGCAAGCGTATGCTCTGGATCCGACACAAAGTTGCTTCCGGGTTAGAAGGACTGGACGGCGTTCTTCTTCATCAGCAGCTTCTTCTTGATAGACTTGAATCCGTGCCAGGACTTCTTCATCTGGTTCTGGTTCGCATTCCGATTGAGCACCGTCTAGTTCCATTTCAGGTTCTGCAACTGTCTCTGTGTCGCCAAGTTCTTCTTCGTCTCGCATTTCTGTGTTCACGGCCTCTGTTGCTGCCTCCATGGTCTGAGTAATGTTTCCGGTAGGAACCTCCACAGGAGTCTGGCTCACAGTGGGGACCTCCGTTCGAACAAATTGTCCACTCGAGATGAACAAAGACCAACAGGTAAGGCACCGTGAAAACATTGCGGGAGTAGGATTGTAGCATGCTGGGCACATTCGAAGATTGACTTGGTTGCGTCCTTCTCCACCGACATAATCCCCAGGGCGAGTGTGCTTAATCATGAACACGACTGCCTCTTTCATGTAGTGGTGTCTCCGCGTGTCTTCCCAATGGTAGTCCAAAGCCGTGACGAGGTTGCGCATGATTCTTTCCTTCTCGGCTTGATGTGGACCAATAGGTGCATCGCAGAGTTGCTGCATCAGACGTGCAGGTGTTGTGTATTTGGTGAATTCGCCCAGTATGGGTGATCCCTCGTACTCCAGCACAATCTCATTCTCGAGCTCAGCATCATAGATCTTCTCAATGAGTGCGAATTGATGAGCCTGACGACTGCTGGGCACCATGAACCATACCTCCTTGACCATGCTGAACGGAACGATTTCCGGGACGATGATGATGCCGTTGTCCGCGATCCTTCCTCCTTGTCGAATGAGGTCATTGGACGGAACGTACAGCGTGACCATCGGTTGGCCCCAGTCGCGATTCCTGTCGACTCGGTCTTTGGTTGTGACGTTTCTGGGATCCCATGGAGCAAATAGACCGTAGAAACTATGAAGTCTTATTGGATCTTGTCTGCGACCGTGACCAACGATCACATGATCGTCGAGAAGCACACCGGGAACGATTCCACGTTCGACGATTCCTTGAAGATTTCGACAGCTTGTGGCATGGAATGCTCCTCCAAGTTCATTCATGAGCGAAATAGTAGGAGAGAATGCGAATGAGTCCCTGTCGAGTATCATCAGATTCTTTCTGTGATCAGGATGTTCCGTGTGTCCACTGATTGCATGTACGGCCCAAGGCCTGACCCATCCGTCACATTGAAGAAGTCTGGCTTGAAACTGTAGGGTGTCTGGGTTCTGCAAGATCTCAGTGATCTGATCGCGTTTCGTGATCATCATGTTGGATCCAACGACGCCGATCGGATGAGGTCCTGGAGGAGGGTCCTTGACTCGCATTTCCAAGAATTGAAGGCGAACCTTGCCCCTTGACTTTCGGGATTCGATGTAGTTGCCGTTGATGATGAGCTGGACACGTTCGTTGTAGATCCTCTCCCTTTGGTTCGCGTCAGATGTACTGGCCGCGAGGGTGATTCTCCTCGTTTCATGTGTCCAAAGCACCTCCTTTCTGACCAACTCGTCGATAAGCACCCATCCTCCTTCGTCACACCTGAGAATCTCATGGAACACATTCATTCCATTTATCCCATCCAGACTGGTAGCTCCCGGAGCCTTGCCAATGTGGTGACGAAGATCAGATTGAATTCTCGACATGGCCCATGTCGATGCGTTTGCCGTGCGGTAGGGAATGTCACGAATCTTGCACGGCTTGAGCGATCTCCATTTCGCATGTACGAAGTTCGCGCTCGCGCCATCATCCGGCATCAAATCCGAGATGCCGCCACGCACATTGTCCGACATACACACATACCCAGGATTGGAGTACTCCCCTTGCGAGTTCGTTATGTACAACGGTTGGTCACCTCGTTGAGGAAGACGTCGATCGCGATGACTTGTTGTAGTCTCGATCTTGTGGCTTACATCTCTGTTGCTGGTGAGTCCGATCTCTGTCAGCTCGACTCCGCAGACCAGATCTTTGCCACGACGATTCCGAACTTCCCGATCGAGGCGCTTGGGGTTGTCATACCTGACCAGTATGGTGTCGGATGCGACAGGCGCTCTCCGAGGTCGTGCTTTCGCTTTCGGTCGATGACCGGATGAAGAACTTATAGTTTCAACACCTTCGGCCGGAACACCATCGTCAGCTGGCGGCATATGAACATCTGCATCGGTCTCTCCCGCAGCTGTTGCTGTGGTAGACATAGCATCATCCCTGTCAGCCGCCATCGTAGTAGCTGTCGTTGGCGGTCTCTGATAGCGAGTTTGCACAGGATATATTCGTACCGTTGCTCGCATATGATTCAGAGCAAGAATCAAGCTATTTCGTCGTTCCAACTGGACATCACATTCTTCAAGAGTGTGCAATGCTGATCCGCAGTTGACACAAATAGAAAGAACGCGAGCGTTGACTTGAACTTGTCCGCACCGAAGTTCTTCAAGACGTGCTAGCAGTTTCGCCTGCACAGCATCATGTAGTTCAAAGTTTGGATCGCGGGCGATCTCGGTCTCTTCCTCAGGTTGATGATCATCAGCATTCGGAGGTGGCATAGGTGGAGCAGATCCAACTTCTTCCTGTCGCCTCCCGGAAGACGCAGTTACAGGGAAAAGATCTTCATCATCTTCCGCTTCATACGTCACAAAGAGACCGTCAGTAAGGCCGTTGATGTAGTCCTCGATCTGCTGGTCTCGCCTAGGCGTCGACCGTTTCCTTGGAGAATCGGCAGTTATCAGCTCAATTGCTTCTGCTGCTGCATACCGCCACACGGACCTTTCGATTCCCCGTTTGGAAAGAATTGAGGGTACCTCATGGCCAGAGTCAGAATGCCCAACGCCAGTTCCAAGGTGTCTCCCAGAAGTTCTTCTCTCGGGTCTTGGACTCCGTTGTACAGTTGTTTTCGATCATCAGGAGTGAGGATCGCCTTCATGTATCCAGCGTAAACCGAATTGCCTGCATCGAAGTAGCAAATGTAGAGAACATCATTTCGTTTGTTGTAAGTTCGATCCCAGGATAACTGCTTGGCCTTGCCCCATCCGGCATACTCCACCGCTTGCTTGGACGAAATGCGAAGGGCACCGCAATGGGAAATCGTTTTGCCATAGTCAGTGTAGGCCACTGGGGCACAAGCTTTCAGGAATGCCACCAGGTCCTCCCTTGGGTCGTAGAACTGCAAGGTGTTTTCATAGGCGAACATTGCTGAAGCCAACGCATACCTTTGTGCTTCCAGCCAGGCCCTCGCATCGGAGATGCCGGCTTGCACCTTCAAGGCAGATGTGTGTGCGCAACCTGTGCAATGTCCTGGAAATCCGTTGCCAGAAATTCCAAATTTCGCCGCTGTAAACAGTTCCATTGCTTTCATGTCACGACACCCAGCACAGAAGAATGTCTTTCCCGACTGGTACGCCGTATCAGAGGTAGCATACTTGTCGATCTTGAACCAATAATGTTTGTGGTCGTAATACGGCTCGGGCATGATCATGGCGATGTCGAAGTCCTGCCAGACCACAGACGAATGCTCAGCAATAGTGTCACCTCGTGCTCCGGACAAGATGTTCTGTCTTCTTTCCTCATTGAACCAGGTAACCATTCTGCCGAGTTCACCGTCATGGCCACAGATATCTCACCTTGGTCCTGCCAGACGTCTTCGAAGCTTTGTTGGGCGAGGATCGGCGTCTTGATCTGAGCACGCCATTCGTCGATCTTGTTGTGGTTCATGAAGCATGCGGCCACCATCTTTTCGGCGAACAATTGCTTCTCGTAGATAGCGAATCCACGATGGGCTCGAACGTGTGGGTCGTTGGCACCGTCAGGCTCCATCGACAACACGTGGGCTCCACTGTTGGACTGTTTCAAATGGCACGAAGGTTTCGACCAGAACGTTGACCCATGCACGACGAGGCATCCACGACTTCTAAGTTCCAGTGTCACATAAGCTCCCATCGCAGCAAACCCGATGAAATTCTCCGCAACTGACCGTAGCGCTGGGCTCCCGGCAGCATTAACGCGGAAATCGTGGTTGATGTTGATGATAGGTGCCCGGCTGGTAAGTCGCGCAATCTCAACGATCGGGTCGACGTAGGTGGCTTTCAATGTTTGCATGGCATTTTCTCGAATGCGAGCTCCATCACCCACTTCACTGAAAGGCCAATTGATGTTGTCCACCATCACCGCCTGAAGCGTGAGATGTATGTGTACCGTTGCCGTTGCCCGTTGCTCTTCAGACATCAACTTGATGGAATCGACCGCATTCTGCAGTGTGTCAACGACATGTGAGCAACCATACTCTCCTCCGTGATGACCATTGTAGTTTGGACAGAACTTCACTAGCTCCGCCCATCCTTTGTTGTGCAAGCTCTCGCCGATGTCAATCTGTGAGCGCGTAGCTTTGTTGGCAGACGCGAGACGGTAGTCCATGATGAGAACAGTAACTTGAGACCTTGCTGGAGCCGCATCTGGGCGCCCTCCAAATCCCAGTCCATTCCGCATGGTGTTGGTGGCTTTGATGGCGGCGTCAACCGTTTCCGGTTCGTCGCTGTCTCCCATCGAAAGATCATCAGCTTCTTTGACAAGTGCACACGCGGTCAAAATGATAGGATCAGGAAGTTGTTGGCACATGTTCAGCTCACACGCATGGTGGAGCCTTGAGTACATACGCAACCATTCCTCTGTGTCCAATTTCACATATGCCCCCAGGTTCAGACCCTTCTCCTTGCGGTTGGTCACAGATTGAAGCCTTGCCAGGTAGGTCACGAGGCGTCTAAGATAGTGTTCAATCGCAATTGTTCCTTGGGTCGGATTGCTGGAGAATCGCGGCGTCTCATCAATGCTTGCTGGGTAGTCGTTGAAGTTCCTCCTTGATACAGCCAACGTGGACTGACACAAGGTCCCGTCCAGTTTGAAGAAACGAAATGCATGTCCTTCAGTACCGGTAGGGTGAGAAACTTCTGCCCAGTTGTCTGTGGAGGAGGCTGATGAGCACCAGACGCAGACGATGTGGCCCGCTCGTCGGTTCTCGCCCTCTTCGGTCCGTGGCTAGGTGTAGCCTTTGGCATAGCAGTAGATCCTTCTCCATGTTCCGGCTCCGTGTTGTGATTCGGTGGACGGATCCCTTCATGCTCATAATGATCCTCCCATGGAGATTCAGCGCGCCCAGTGTCGAAGACCCAGTTCGGATGCGCTTGAAGCTTTGGAGGGAATAGCCCATCACCATCAAATAGAGGAGTCGGCGTAGTCATCGACGAGTATTCTTCCTCAATTGCTTTGATTGCATTCCTCTTCGCTACGCATTCCTGGACGACTCCGCTTTCCACAGATAGCTGATTCCATGAATGCATTTTCGTGATAAACGGCAAATGCAAACCCCCTTCAGCCTGTGACTTGTACACGGCTTCCAAGTGATGCTCGAGGAATCCAAGCGTGTTGGTCTCAAAGTCCGGGATGATGGTTTCCGACCATTTGTAGAAGGGAACAGCGCTGATCTGATCTCTCCAACTGGTATAACTGTGGATCACGTTCATGCACACAAGAAATGCTTGCATCGAGATCACTGCATAGGCGAGAGGATGATCCATGTTCGCAGGACAATTCCGAAGCATTCCAACCAGCTGACGCACGTTGATAGCTTCGGATGTACCTGAAGAAGACGAGGGTTGAGTGACTTCTCCGTTGTATGTCCGCAAACCATAACCCATCTGCTTTGCAAACTCGTACATGATACTGCACAGTTTCCTGAGTTTCCTCTCCGACAGTAATTCGCTTTGGTCATCCACACTGGTGTAGCCGTTAACAGCGCGATTGTAGTAGTCCTGATTCGCGACATACCACATGTCCGTACGGGTGGTCACAACCGACCTGATCGGGACTTCGACGTTGTTGGCAACATAGTCCATGTTGTAGTAGCTGACGTTGCATACGATTTCTGCGGCTGAAGTACTCAGATCATATCGAACTCCATCAGTATCTCCCGTCAACTCTGTGACCGCGAGAGATGCCTCATGCTTCAATACTTGGATGTCGACCAGGTACTGCAATATGTTGGGAAAATTCGCTTGTTTGTCTCCAGTCAGATGCTTCAGGGCGCCACCCACACGAACGATTGCCGCAAGCACTTCGCCGTATGGTTTAGCTTGCCATTCGACTGGACCGGCCAGTACGCATGCCTTCACAATCTCCCGGACTCTCACTGCCACGTCCCCATTTGGAGGAAGACCGCCGCAAGCGAACACTAGAAGAAGTGGAGGAGCTTTCCAGGCTGCCCATGAACGTATCCCATCATTCCCCATTGCCCGATCTTTGACAATCTTTGCGGTAAGGGGAGTAGTATTGTTGGGATCGTTCAGGTACATCTGCAGGAACCTTTCGTACTTTCGAAACATGCTAAGTGCCGTCCCAGCAAAGACATCCTCGACATCAATACCTTGGAACGTCAGCTAATTCGCGTCAGGTTGGTAGGCCATGGCTCAGGGATCCACTACAACCACACAAGGTGAGAAGTAGCTTGTTCCCTATGTTGGCGTTGTGGTTCCGGACTCCCGTAAAGGGACGCCCTTCCCCACTCCGCCGTATCCGCGCCTTAGTTGTTCACGATACAGGGTCTGTTGCTGACCCTGCTTTCGGTACTGTGATACCGACGATTGTTCCCTGCACTGTCCTTAGTGTCATGATCGACATGATCGGTTCTGGCATGAGAGTGAACAAGGCTGCGCATACGATCAGCGAATGTCCTCCAAACACTGTCAACGCACTGCATGAGGTTGCACTTGCACTTCCGACTAACATGTTCACGAAACGCATCCTCAAGCTTTTCAACATCAGTCATGCTAGAGAGCACCGTCCTACGTCCGACTAATCCACCTGTAGCATCGACATGATCAGCGACCTTGGTCCTTCTTACCTTGCTGCTTGAAACAAGAGCATGCATTTCGGGCCATGACCAACATGAGCATGATGACGGCATGTCAAGTGAAAAGAAAACGTTGGAAAACTCCGCGCACTTCCTCAGTAGGCGCTTGAAAGATTTCAGCACGCTCCTAAAACGTTTGTACTTCCCCCCAGGCAACGATCCACCCCCCACACGAGACTCATCAACCCCCCTAGCCCCTTCACCTGATCGCGAAAGCGATGCCACGAATAGCACAGGTGTGTGAAGGTCGTTCCGGCAGGAACTCCTCAACTTGCCAATGAGTTCATCCTCCTGCGCTTTGGAGCTTAAAAGCTCATTGCACTGGATTCTGACACATTTGTCCTTTCTTTGATTGTTGTTGGACTCGGTCAAGCCGCCGTCCACATTGTCAAGACTCACGATGATACTGTCAACACGGCCCTTGGACAAACCAGCGGGCATCGAGATCAGCTTCTTCTCATTAGCAGCCTGAAACTTCAATGAGTTAAGGAGCCGGCGAGAGACTTGGCTCGACCTCTTACCCTTGTTGGCGTGCTGAATCATATCATCCTCTTGGACATGTAAATGCCCAGCTCGACACCGGTCAGACGTCTTTGGCCACATTTTGACGTTTGCGACAAAGTACTCCCACTCGACCTTGCAATAACCAACTGTATGCTCGGCACCTGGACCCTCAATGACCAACCTTTGACCATGGGTACAACCATCGATCTTGATGCACCTCCATGCTTCGTCTTCTAACAGCGATCTATACTGCTTTGTCTCTTTGACTTCAGCTTCGGGTGGCACTTCGATGACAACCTGAGTCCCGGCAGGGATTGCTTTGTGCGCAATTCTTTGGACGACCTCCCCCCATGGGTAATCTGTCCGAAATTTGATCTTTTCGAAGTTCTCCATGACCTTGCAATCCAACCACGAGCTCTTCCCTAAGACCCCTGCACCGATGAAAATCACCGAGTTTGGGTTCTTCTGGCGCGAATTCATCACGTCGAAGAGGTACGAGCACATCGCGTCGTCGACTTGCTGGCCCATGCACAGTACGTTTAATTGAGCACTCGGATCATACTCTGGACCTGGAGCAATAAATTCTTTCATACAGTCCATGCCCGGAGCGTACTCATTCCACCAATTCTCCTCATCCACACCGATCACTGTCCACACTGTGAACTTCTTCGGAGCATCTTTTATGATGATTTTGTACAAGAATTCGCTTGATGGATTGTCGAACCTGTGAACCATTGTGCCAGTTTCGTCATGAAATTCGATGATCAGGCCGTTCTTGGAGTTTTCTTTGAATTCAACGATGTGCGGCACGATCGCTGCTCCATGGCCTTTTTGTTCATGCTTCAATGATGCCATATGTTCCCACACTTCCTCAACAACGGTGGTCCATCGGGTGTCCCCGATATACGGAATTCGATGTGAATAGGGTCGACCGTTGAATCGAAGAGGTAAAGTGAAGCCCTGGTACCCCCCATGGATGGCGCGCGCCAGAGCGGCAGCCAACGACCGCCACCTGGCAGGCAGGGCGCGCACGAACGATGCGCCCAGAGGAGGTGGGTCTGGCACGGAACGTGAGGCAACGGACACCGCGGCCGAGCGAAGTTGTCCGCGAACGGGATGAAACTGATGAACAGCACGCTCCACATAGCGGTCGAACTTGACCGGGGCATCCGGGATGACAGCATGATCCTCCACCTGGTGCCACTGCCCTTCACGAAGAATCCAAGTCGACCGGAGGTAACGACAAGGCGGCAACGCAGAAGGCGGCACCCGCAACACGCGCGGGAACTTGACGACCAAGATGGGATCGACGCTATCGTGCTCCTGTAAACCTTCCTTACTGGACAAACCAGCACGATACAGCACCTGACGCAATATCGGGGTTTCCGTGTACGGAAAGCAAGGAACCTCGCTTTTGAACGAGTAGTGCTGATCGCCCTTCTCATCCTTGCTCTGGGAATGAGTGGGTCTCATCAAGTCCATGATCTCCTGGGAACCAATGAGAGCAGGCGGAAAGATGTTGATCAGCTGACACGCATGCGTCCAAGACACGGAGTCCTTGAACGACTTGGTATGAATATCCGCAGCCATCTTGGCAGTAACCTCATAGGCAAGCGAAACGTAACCCTCCTGGAATATGGAATGCAGCCAGCCAATGCTGATGCCATGGGTCCTTTCCAAATGACGCATAGTCGGATTCTTGCCCGTGCGGATGACCCCGATCATGGTTTGGTTGTCGTCGTAGAAGACGAAATTGGGATCTGAACCCCCCAGCTGCTGCCACAAAGTGATGGCAGGCAGCCCGAGACGAGACATAGCAAAGTCGGCCGCAACAATCTCGGCCTCAGGTGTGGAGTGACTAAGGCACCCCTGCCTTTTGCTGAGTCCAGCCAAGGGAAATCTTGTATGAGGACCTTGAATTTGCATGTGAGCACCGGAGGTAGACTTCAAACTCTCGCCACAGCCAGCATAGTCCGCATAGGCAAACAGTCCGATGGAGGAATCTCGCAAGGAGTCTCCCACCCATCCAATCATCATGTGATGTTTGGACTGATGCACATACGCCATGAGATGGTGTAACAGAGCATCCTCCTTCTTAGTCCATCTTGTAATTCTGCGCGCAAGATTGTTTATGCTACGCAGCAAATCGAAGCGACAAATGCGAGCGGCATAGAGCAGTTTCATCAGGATACTCGCTGCCTGAGGAGCAAGTGCGCCTCTAGTTTCGTCGGTGA